AATTTAGTGCACAAATTTAGTAACATTCAGATTAAAGAGAGAATTAGTAATCTACAAGATAGGGCAATGGGAAGTACTCAGGATGAAGCATGTAATGACAGAATGGCAAGAGGAAGACTAAAGAGAAAGTATGGGGTATGAGGCCTGAGATAATATAATGGAGAGTTCTCACATTGGTTTGATCGAAGTCACCCAAGCGAGGAAAGAGAGGGTGGGCCAGCAGCAGTATTTGAAGAGATGGTAACTGAAATTTCCTAAACTGATGAATAAAACCAGTCCATAGATTAACTTTGGTATTAATGTAAGCTTTCTAAAATTCTCCCCAATTATACCTAATTACATACTTGAAACAAGGAAAGAAAAGAATAAGACCTATCTTTAATAAAGAACAGTCCAAATAGTTGTATTTTTGGCATATATGTATATTTTAGAAACCTGGAATCATTACATATGGCTTGTGAACATTCCTCTCTTAAGATGTTCTGAATGTTTCATATATCATTAAAATTTAATAAGATTTAAGATGTGATATTTGAATGTACTATTATACCTTTTCTTTATGTATGTGAATATGTATGCTTGTTTATATTTATAGGTACATGCCTGTTTTGAGGTGTTGTGGGTGCATGTGCATTTGGTAGCCAGAGGATGACCTTGGGTGACATCTTCAGTAATGTTATCCACTACTTACGAAACAGGGTCTCTCATTGGCCTGGAGCTCACCTGTTAGGCTGGTTGGCCATTGAGCCCCAGTGATTCTCCTGTCTCCACCTCCCTATTTCTGGGATTAAAAGTACATGCCACCAAGACCAGCTTTTTACATTGATGCCCGGGATCAAACTGAGATCCTCATGCTTGGGGAAAAAAGCACTTTCCTCACTAAGCCATCTCTCTAGCCCCTTGTATTATACTTTTATAACCAATTCTCTGTAGACTATGTAGTTTAATTACATTTAGTTAATAGTCTCAACATTATTTTTAGTAAGTATACTTGGTAAATCTTTGGTATGTTTGTGTTGTTATGGTCTGACGTTCAGTGAAGTCAGGTATTTATTTCAGAGGCTGGGTTCACATTCAGCTGGTTGGAATGGATCAGAGAGAGAGAAAGAGGCCTCCTGTGAAGAGGAGGTGGGTCTGGAAGGTTGCATGGTCCCTTTCAAGCTGAGAAGTGGACAGTGACTGTGTGTCTCAGTCGTTGTGTTTTGAGACAAGAATTGTACGCATTCCAAACTGGCCCTGAACAAGAACAGCTATGTCACTGAGGACACATAACTAAGTCTTAACATGCATCCCTGATTAATTATACTTCTCTTTGGGGATAAATTTCTAGAAATAGAACAACTGGATGGTGGTAGTTTGAATGTAGTTGGCCCCCATAAGCTCATAAGGATTGGCATTATTAGGAGATGTGGCCTTGTTGAAGTAGGTATGGCTTTGTTGGAGGAAGTGTGTCACTGTGGGGGTGGACCTTAAGGCCTCCTATGCTCAAGCTATGCCTAGTTCAGTTCACTCCTGTTGCCTGTGGATCAAGATGTAGCTCCTTCTCCAGCACCATGTCTGGCTGCATGCTGCCGTGTCCTACCATGATGATAATAGACTAACCGCTGAAACTGTAGCCACCCAATTAAATGTTTCCCTTTATAAGAGTTGCCATGGCCATGGTGTCTCTTCACAGCAATAGAAACCCTAAGACATGGATCAAGACTATTTAATATTTGAGATACTGGCTAAGTATACTTTACCCCAAATTTTTGGAACAAGCAGTATTTCAGATTTTTAAGTTTGGGATTTTTATAGTCCTTTTGTACAAGTTGTATCTTTCAAAAATAGCTGGTGTTATTTACTTACTTTGTCTCACATTCTTTGTCTTTCTGCGTGACTTTGACACTCCTCCATTGAAAGTTAGGATCTGTGTTCCCTCTCCCAGAACCTTTGTCACAGCCTCAAGAAATAAGAGGAACAGTGGAAGTACAGCTCCTTGACCTCACGTCTAACTAGGCAGGAAAGGTGGTACAACTGCTATCTGTCTATCTGGCTTTTAGGACACTTGCCCTTAGAACCCAGCATTGGGAGGAAGCCCAGGCTACAAGGAGTGCCTTCTGCAGAGGTTCCATATAATAGCCCACTGGGTCCTAGCCAACAGCTAGCATCACTGCCAGATACATGACAAGCAAGCCTGGAGGTGATTCCAGCAGCTGATCTTTGAGTCTTTCAACAGAAGCCTCACACTTCTGCCCACAGAAACTGTGAAGGACAATAAATGATACTGATTCTGGCCTGTAAGTTGGAGTGAGTTATTAGCCAGCCGTAGTAAATTTCCTCTCCCTTCCTAGCATTGCTCTTCAAACTCCTAAAATGAAATCAAGAAACATTTTCATCTAAAAATTCAGAAGTTTTTACTTCAGATGGAAATGGTATCTTGATTTAATTGCATTTTCTGAGTTACTGTGAAGAGCCAGCCTAGTAGGGAGATAGCGGTTGGTGTGCTGAGTGTGGCTATCACTTCAAACTCAGGAAATCTAATACTGAAATCATTATATTTCTACTCCCAGCTTGTTCCCCATCCTCCTCCTCCCCATCCTCCTCCTCCCCATCCACCTCCGCCTCCAACAATTCAGTCCATACTCCCTTTTCATTTATCAGAGCAGATATTACTTCCTTCAGTTCCCTTTCCTCAGTTCACCCTAGCTTAATAACTTAGGTCAGTACTGCTGCATCACCCAGAACCTATGCATCGTCTGTGGAAACTGTCCTTTTACTTACCTTTCTACTGCACTACGTACTAAGCTTTGTAAAGTCCTCAAACTGCCAATAGTATCTTCTACGTGTGGTGCATAGTATGTGCTTGATAAATAACTATTATTATTTAGTGAGTTTTAATTATTTTGCTATTTGATGTATGTGGGTGTTTTGTCTACATAAATGTCTGTGTACCACAAGCATGCCTGGTGTCCAAGGCCAGAAGAGGACATCAGATACCCTGGAACTGGAGTTACAGATGATTGTGAATTGCCATGTGGCTCGAACTTGGGTCTCTGCAAGAACAGCCAGTACTCTTAACCACTGAGCCATCTCTCTAGTCCTGTTCTTGTTTTTTATACTGGTAGGGATCAAACCTGGGACCTGAGCATTAAGCAAGCATTCTGCCAGTGAGCTACATCCCCAGGAAGGCTTAAGTTTTAAAGTACAGTAGTTGACATTTTTAACTTTTCACATTAATCTTTCCCTATCCATTGCTACTTAAGTGATAACAAAAGTTGTATTTCGAAACTTGCTTTCCAATCTTGGTCTAGTTAACATTTTCATGTCCTGGATTTATTTTTACTAGTAAATTATTTATCAAGTAAATTTTGTTTTATATGATGAATATAGCCATCTAAACTTTTTATCTAAGCCAACTTAATAATGCTAATTTGGGTGAAATTTTTTAAGATGGGTAAATTAAATTTAGAATTACACAGTGATTCTTTACATAGGAAATAATCCTTTAACATGATTATATTTTGAAGTTAATAAGAAATCATCTATGCCGGGCGGTGGTGGCGCACGCCTTTAATCCCAGCACTCGGGAGGCAGAGCCAGGCGGATCTCTGTGAGTTCGAGGCCAGCCTGGGCTACCAAGTGAGC